ATATCTTTGTAGCAAAAGGTGTTTAGATCTAATTATTTTTTTCAAAAGGAAAAATAGTAAGGTTTCAGTGTCTGCAGAGCTGGTACCTTTCTTGGAGCCTTCCTGTCAGACAGTGTCAGCAGTCATCTCGAAATACCTTTGGATGCAGCAGTGACTTGTTGCGTTCCTCTGGTTCTTGCTCACATTGTCTATGCCGTGGAAGGAGTAGGAAAGGCTTCGGTGCTCTGGACTGACTTAAAGGCCCCAGCGTTTACCATTTTGGGGTGAAATCCTGACTGGAAATGTTCTGTCCTCTATTTTATTCTCTAGTGAAGCCTTCAAGTCAGGAGAGCAGATTCAGTGAATGTCTTCTGTCCTCTCTTATCTCCTATTTTTTTTATATGCAAACAATAAACAGGTGTCTCATGAGGGCTTCTCTGCTTTATGGTATATATTTTTTTGAGTGTGTGTGTGGTTTTTTTTTTTCCCTTCTGCAAGACAGGATGGATTTTGCTGGTAAATCACCTGGCAGAAGTTAGCCATTGCTTTGGATCGAGAATGTGGCACTGTTTATATTCTTGCCACCTTAGGTACCTCTCTGAAATAAAACAAGCAGAAGTTTGCCATGTTACCTTGAATTTCTGTGGCTTAAGAAGATGACATATGTGAAAATACTTCTAGCTTTTTGCAGGCTGTGTTGGTCAGGAGGCAGGAAGGCGGCTGAGGGTTTCAATTCAGCTTCTTTCACCAAAGAGAGTGAGTGATGTTGCTTCTGGTGGCTTTTTATCATCTTATACCTCAACAATAAGAGTCACAGTAGCTCTCGGGGGAAAAAAAAAATCTCCATCTGATTTATGTTTTGAGTGTTTGGGGTTTCTTGTCTTTTAAGTAGGACTGCTACCACCATTGTAAAGTATTCAGTGCAAGAAATAGATGGCTAATTAGGCTATTGGCTGTAGGACACTTGTTTTATTCACTGTGGAAATTAGCAAAGTGTGTCACAAATGAGGTAGGGATCTGGTGAAAAGAAGATGGTCTTGTGGCTATGGTAGTGAACTGCAAGCTGGGGAATTGTTTTGTGATGTTAAATAAGTTCCTACTTGCTTTCCATTAGTGACTGCTGATCGTTTGTGCTTCATTTTTCAGGTATTCAGCTTGAAACAAGGGTCTGATTTGTGGAACCATGGGCTCCATCTGAAGCTAATGAGAATTGTGATGCCCTAATACCACTGAAAAAAAAATCGGGCCCTAGGCCTGGTTTGAACTAGGTACTTAGAAGTTAGGGGACTCTAAACTTCAGTTTACAGGTCTCTGTGCTTCAGTTTTCTAGCTGTGGAGCTTGGGAATTCTTTTCAACTCATCCCATTTCCTTGTGAAACAACACCAGCTCATTGATTATTTATTTTTTACGTTTTTGAGGCACTTAAATAGCCCTTTTAAAAGTGCAGTAAGCTGCAAGGATATAGAATGACCTTTTTTTCAGGACAGGAACTGGAAGGTGTGCAATAAATTAGAACTGGAATTTTACACTGACTAAGAACAAATGAGATGACTGCTTCGTTATCTCATTGTCATCTTTTAGATAAATCAGGTCGGGGGTCCACTTGGAAAAAAAAATAGTAATTGATTAGATAATTGAAAATGTGTCATAGCACATACCAAAGAGAACGAAACAGTTAAGGTTTTGTGAGCTCTCTCAGTTCTAACACAAATTCTTATTTTACAGTCATGATGAGTTGGGTTTATATGGTGATAGGACAATATCGTGCAGCCCTGTGATCACTGACTTTTCTCTTTGAGGTATGTATTAGAAGGTAGTTCATACCAGTTTGTTAGTGAGATCCGAAGAGCAGGTTTTAACTGCAGTCTCTAAAGTAATACTTTGTATGCATTGGTTTTGTTGATATTTGCATTTAAAGTGTGTTCAGCACTAGTTCAGTCATCAGTGAAGTTTAGCTTTGCTAAACAAAGCTTCTGCCTGAAACACACTGACTGCAGCAGTGCTATTTTAAGGCTTTACTAGTGTGAAACGTAAGGTCAGTGCTTATTTAGTGATACTTAGCTAAGGACTTCATAGTAGCAGTGTTCATGTTGGCGTCACTCTGCTAGAAAGTTGTTTAACAATACAGCTGTTCAAAACATTGATTAGGATTTTTGCTAATGATTCATCTTGGAACTCAGTGGAAACTAATTCCTTGTCTGGAAAAGATTTGTAAAAGTGGATTCAAAGATAACAAAGGACAAGATCTCCATTTCAAACTTGAGATGCCATTCTTTTTGGAGTTGAAGGCAGAAAATCATGTTAAGGACAGATTTATTTTTCAGTGCTTCGTAAGATTTTCTTGCACTATTTCTGATGCTGCTGGTAAAAGCAAACTTTTCAGGAGTATGTGAGCTTAATTTTTTAGGGTGTTGTGTTTAGTATGAATTCCGAATTCAGCAGTTCTTCCATTAATGAAAGTGGGCATCATGCTCGATGCATAATGGAATCAAACACAGTGCAAGGATCTTTCATTCAGCAGCAGGTAACAGTACACACAGGAGAGCCTTCAGTAACATTTGCAGATGAGATTCATTGTCTTAACTGCTAACAAAATAAGTCTTTGGTTCTTTATGTGTCCTATTTTAAGATATTGAGATGGACAGTGAAAGTTTTCTTTACTCCATTGTTAGTGCTACAGTTCTAACAGCTGGTTTTACGACCAGCAGTTCATGGAAGAGTGAAAGTTGTTTCTGAATATCTGAACTGTATATTTTCTTTGAAGAAAACACTGGCCTCAGACCCTTTGTACGATTTTCTTTTTCAGCACAGAACAACAGCATGTTTGTATAAGCTGTGTCCTGCTATCTTAAGAAATTAACACTTGCAGGTTTAAATTTATTTTTTTTTTTTTTTCAAGCATCTTGCACTGTCTTCTCAGCAGTACATCTCCATTGCAGGGATGGGAGGTCCAAGAATGTGGTTAGGAAGTAGTAACATTGAAAGTATAGTGCAGACAAACCAGTTGCTGAAAAGACTTAGCAGCTAAACTTGCTGTGAGAGAGGTGAAAAATGCAAACAGTTGTCTATACGTGCGTTTCTGCCATTATTACTACTATTGATTTTGCACAAGCGTTAGCGCAGGGGTGGGGAATTTCTAGAGCGGTACCAATAGAAAGGCAGGATTTGCAAAACTGTAGAGTAAGCATTATTTCTAGAGGGTAGGTCGGGGTCATGTGTTTGGTAGGATCCTACATGATACCATTATTAAATATCTAAAGTCACAGAACAGAAAAAGAACAGTTTTGTTTTCTGTTATCACTTGTCTGTAGCACATTTGGGCTGAAAATGCTTCATTCTGAGGGCACTGTCTGTTCATATCTCTGTTCTTGATTAGTTCTTAGTCTGCAGACACAGTCACCTTGGTGGAATTGTTATTACTTTCTTTACCTCGGAGCTTTAAGTGCCCTAAGGGATGATATGAGAATAAACTGTTGCAAATATTTGGATATGTGTTTCAGTTATAATCCACAATGCAGCTATATAGCTCCCCTGTTTTCAAGAACTTAATTTCATTTGTAGAGAAAACATCCCCTCGGTATACAACTGAGCGTCTCAATGTTAGCCTTTTCTTTATTTCTGCAGTAAAAAGCCCAATCTGATCAATGGATGAACTTGCTGAGGCAGGCGTGAGCACAGGACCGGCACTGGAGTCAGCTGACTTTCTTGTTCAGGCTGAGTGTTCACTGTTCGTCTGCAGTGCTTCAGACAGCTGTGGGTAATAAGTGAATAAATAAGTAAAAGCAAATACTGGAGAGTTTTAAGAAGCACATCTTAGGGAACTGGTTCTTCTCCATTTAAACAAAGCTCTGCTTTCTTTTCTTTCCTGTGGCTCTCTGAGATACAGGCTATGATGTGGAGGATCCCAGTTTGCTGCTGCTCTAAGAGAGGCTGTGCTAGTCAGAGGAGAAATTTTTTAATTAGATTTAGGAGAAAATCCTTCAGGCTTCTTCTCACTAGCTTCTATAATAAAATGTTTTTTAACAGTAAGCCTGTAACGTGCTTTCACAGTGAGTAGGACATTTTTCTTTGGGAATTTTTATTAGGGTGGTTTTTTTATGGAGATAGTAACTCAGTTGATTAAGAAACAAGTTTGGCCTATGTAGTGTGCCATCTTGCTCTGAAGGGATCTCTTTTCAGGAAACATAATTTAGTAATCTTTGATCCACATTACGCTTTGTGTGCAGTCCCTTAAGTTAGAATGGTACTGTTTCTGATTTATTGGTAAAAAAGCATACTCCCAAAATACAGGCCTATATCCAGAAAGAAGCAGAAAACTTCATGTCTGATGATTTATTAAAACTGCTAAATTTGCCATCTGTTGGAACATGGAAGGAAAGAGGATTTTGAGATCTAGCAAAAGCATGCTGGTTTTCAAGATCCGGGTCTCGAGAGTTGGGTGTAGTTGGCTGGTCCTGACTTATCTGTGGCATTTAACAGTAGTTTGAATTTCAGCTGGTATTGCGTGGAAGGGATGTAGAGCATCAATTTGTGGCCACTAATGGCTCAGGTTACAGATAGCTATATATACTGTAGCAACTGAAATGTGCTGGAGACAACAAGCTTTATCTCTGTATGGAATAATTTGCAGGTTCTCTAGAGTGTTAGGCTGGTTCCTCTTTCTATTTACGGTTGCTCATTCAGGTATTCTGATGTTTGCACCCCAAAGAATGGGGTCAGTGCCTCTAGAAAACATCTGGAAATGAAGGACCTGGACAAATTCTCTCCAGTATTAAATTATCTTGGAATAGGTGGAGGGGAGTCCAGCCACTAATTTTGAAGCACTTTTCCATAGTTTTGCCACAAAAAGGAGTTGCTAGACTGCCTTCAGAAACGTTTGTGGTACAAAGTGGTGATCAGCAGGGAAGGAGGATATAGTAGCTGGTCTTTCACAATGTGGTGCTCCCTTTTAAGATACTTGAGAGCCCCGACTTAAATGCTAATGCCTATAATGATACTATGATATACTGTTGTTTTATAGTTTTGTTGGAAGCTATTACGAAGAACGGAAGTACTGCTGGGGGAGGCGCTTACTGCCGAAAACCAGCCAGTAGCAATGATCAAAGTAAGCCAAATAGCACGAAGGAGAGCAATGCATCTGCTGCAGGGGAAAGTGGAAAAGGCTACACCAAAGACCAAATGGAAGGAGTATTCAGGTATGGCCTTGCTTAAATACATCACTGCTTTTCATTGTGTGTGTTATGTACTCATGCTTTCAGCTGTAGCATCTAAAGAAGCAACAGAAAATTGAAGCTTAGCTGAGAGGCATTACTTGTACTGAACTGTGACTAAAAGGAAGAGGAGAGGTTTGCTGTGTTTAAACACAGTATGAGACATGGTCACTTTCTGCGAGAAGGATGATGCTCATCTTTATATGAAGTAACCTTGATGGTTTAAAAAGAAAATACTCAAAATCATTATTAAGCAGATCTCATAATACATGGAAGAAGTAATGAAAATTCTGTAGTAAACCTTGCAGGGTACTGTTTCTATTCTTAAATATTTATGTCTAAGTTTACATTACATGCTCACTCCTAAGGTTTATTTTCAATATAGTCTTGCTGTACAGGCTGGTCTTAAACCACTGTTAAAACTATTTCGCTCTGGAAGTACAGGTGTCTGAGAAGCACTGAAGCACATAGTCTAAGTTGCATTATAAACTCTGTCTGGACTTTGTGCAGCATGATAGTCTTTAGATGGGGTGACATCAGGGAAGGAGGATGTGCGAAAAGAAACAAAGATCAATAAAAATGGCCTTTTGAGGCAAGTAACTCTTAGGTCGGGTTATATTACATGCTTGCTGGCTGTAGGAGTGAGAAAAATATTGTTCAGTATGTGCCCTGATTTCTGCTAAAGAAATGTGGATGCAGCCACTCTAAAATTACACACCTCAAAACCCACCTGTATTTTCAGGTAAGCCTAGCCCAGGTATTTTCAAGGGAGCTCAAAGAAGGCAAATTAAGAGGTGGTTGTCTCCTAGTTTGTGTAGATTGGATGAATTGTTGTACAAAACAGAAATTTGGGTGTGATTTTGTTGTATGTGAAATGTATGTCGCTGTTTATATTATCTTGGTATCTTTTCCTGAAGTTCAATGATCTGTTCAACTGTGCAAACAGTGAGGAAAAAGTAGCTTTTCTTTGTTGATACAGCACCTCTGCATTCAGGCAGGTAGACAGCAGCATCTCTGGCATGGTTATCCTCTTGGTGTTGCTACTTAGAGGTTTTTGTTTACCACCATCTCTGCTTAATTAATGTTATTGCCCTTCATGATACAGCTAAAGGAAAACCCGAATAAGTGTGTACACTTTTGGCCACCTTTAAATATTTAACCTCTTAAAATGAATGCAAAATTGTGTGTGTGCACATGCATGTGAGACAAAATATCCAGAAAGAAGCACTCTGTAAAATGGGTCTTATATCAAATTAAGACGTGTAACACATTCTCAGAAAGCTGCAACAAGGAAGGCTGTATTACTGCCAGTAGTCACTCACCCGCGACGTGCCATTCTGAGGTACAGGCTGCTTTGACATCAGGTTCCCTGCAAGTTCTTTTTCTTGTTTGTTAGTTTTACCAGAAAGTAATGTTGCCTACTTTGTCTTGAGCAAAATGATGTTGTAGAGCTGACTTTTCTCCATGTTATGCTTTCATGGTGTTGGGTATTGCTTCCTTAAAGGGATTCACTAGATACCAGATAAAATTAATCCAGTTTGTTGAGATCAGAACTGGAGCTAGGGATATTCACCGAAGTTGCACACTGAGGATAATCTTGATGCCATACTGTTTCTTCATACCCATTTCAAAAATCTGCTTTGCAAATATATAAAATTTGAGGTTTTAAAAAGTACCCAGATTTCTGCAAATAAGCAATTGTAATAGCTTGCAGAACAGCCCTTGTTTGTTTGTATTTTACATACTGCTTAGAAAATCAGCTGTTAAAACAATATCTTGACCTTAGCTTGAGTGATGCTACCATCCTTCAGTGTAGCAGTTTATAAACCTTTGGAGAGAGACTGTATTTTGGTTTAGATATACAGTAATCAACCGAGCAAGTCCCCAGTTCTTGTTGGAAGTTTTGAAAAGTTTGTCATGTCAGTTAGTGACATCAACACACCACTTGGAAAATTTATGGTTAAGAATTAAAAAACATGTGTGCCTTGCCAACAAGAACAGGATTAAATGCAAACAGTGGGCTAAAACTTAATGGGAAAATAAAACATGTTCAGTGATGATAGCTGAGGGAAAGTTCATGTTTAAACCACAGTGAGAATGAGCTTTCTAGTTGGAAACATGACAGGCTGCATATGCTATTGCTTCAGTTAGGCCCCAGACGTTTCCAATTAAATGAAACGCACCCCTCTGGGGAGGATATTCTTCAGAGAGTAGAGCTTGTCACCACCATATGCTTCTGCCATACCACAGAGGAACGGTTTTCAGACCTTTGAATTGGTTAAAGAAATGCTGCATGAAAAGAAGCGGTTTTAAATTGTGTTTCATGCCTGATTTTTGTTTGTTTGTTTGTTTGTTTGTTTTCTCTCTGTAAGGAAATAGATTTAGAATCATAGAATCACAGAATGGTTTGGGTTGGAAGGGACCTTAAAGCCCATCCAGTTCCACCCCCTGCCATGGGCAGGGACACCTCCCACTAGCCCAGGTTGCTCAAAGCCTCATCCAGCCTGGCCTTGAACCCCTCCAGGGATGGGGCATCCACAGCTTCCCTCTGGCAAATTTCTTCTCTGGGTAAATTCGTAGATAGCAAGGCAGCAAAATCTTCAATTTTTAATAAATTCTGAATCATACCTTGAATTTGACGGTGTTAAACTAAATTGTTTTGTATGTTTATGATTTGAAAGGTGGTCAGTGTCCTCAAGTACTCTTCCCTCTAGGTATATTTGGTTCTGTACTAGTAATTTAATATAAACTGAGCAAAAGCATTCCTGATTTAACTACACGTGCCATTTCCAACCCTTTTTTATAAGCACTCGTGAGCAGTTGGACAGCAGGACTGACTCTGGGCTCTCTGACTTGGATCACTGATTAGTGTTCCTGCAGTTGCCCAGCTATCTTGAATTTGCTTGTGACAACAGATTTCAGAAGCATAGTGAAGACGCACTTGTAGCACTGTAACGAATTTAACTGCCTTAATTTTCATCAGGGTTACTCTAGTAATAGGGTAGGTATGAGTACAAACAAGCACCTCAGTGCTGTTTCTATTTTTCCACATCCACAGGGGACACTGATTGCTAGTGAGCTACCATAACACTTCTGTAGAGCATTGCGTGAGCTTGCAAACAAGTTGCTTGACAGGGAGAAACATAAGATGCAATATCTTTCCACCGATTGCGTAAGTGCTGAGTGATGCTCTGTTCTTTGTGGAAACTGTGCTCACTATTTCTGTTACGGTTTGAAGCTTGAGATATCCAAAAGCACTTTCTTACTTTGGAATTGAAATGCTTTGAAAATACCACCTGTAGTACACACAACTTTTTCTGTATGATGCTTGTCTTTTCACCAAGGGCTGGATCAGGTTGCCTGAGCACTTTAGGTGACCACTATCACAGGTATTGACAGGAGACTAGCAGGAAAGTGTTAGGACCCACAGTGTCCTTATGTCTCTTTAGAGCAAGTGCCCTAGAAGTCTCTAGGCAGTTGAATGCTGTTTGAGCAATGCCAGCTTAAGATAAGAGCATGAGAATCATATGCACCACCAAAAAGGGAGAATTTGCTTTTGGATTCTGTGGTCTTTGCTTTAAAGCAATTCCTTCACTGTTTGATGTAGGTCATTGGCAATTTTTTTTCTGAGATAAAGAAATGAAGCATTTGTGTAAGAAAGAAAATTTAAACTTTTTTTTTCTTCTAGTTCACTTAAAACAGCTGAAGAAGTGCTGGTCAGGATTACAGTTATCAAAGAGTTCTTAATTACTGTCAAACAAATTCTGTTCATCATATCTGCCTTCTCATACCAAGCGTGCAGACCCTTTGGAAAGGTTTTGTGGACTGGCATGAAATAATAATTAAAAAAAAGATCAGTTGCTTGCTCTGTATTAAGTTTTCCTGTTTCTTTTTATGCTGTCCAGTGTGTATTAGCTGTTGTCTACTACATGATTTTTAAAAAAAAATAGGTTGTACACTTTATACAGACTCCTTTTAAGTGATCTTAAAACCATGTGGTGTCTCATGTCTCTTTTTAGTAAATAAGCCATAGCTTTAATTCTGTATTACCTTTTTGACATCTGAAAGATAACTTCCATAATGAGTAGTATGCTAGAGTTGGATTGCTGTCTTTTGAAAATTGTGGTGGAAGACTGCTTTTCCTGTCCTGCCAGGGCCTGCCCCTAGGAAGAGAGCACAAGAATGAGATTTTGTGTTTGGATCTTTGAGCTAGAACCAAACCAATAGAGGCATGAGGTCTGTAGGAACCTTGCAAGGCAGGATTAAATGTCATCCAGTAGCGGTCAAGAATAATCAGGAACTTGATTTGAATTCACAGAGTAAACAGAAAAATTGCCTCTACGTTATTTCGTGGATCAAACTAGAAGGAATGTAAGATGTGTGACTGTGCTGGCTTTGGCTGGGATACAGTTAATTTTCTTCCTAGTAGCTACTATGGGACTGTGTCTTGTATTTGTGCTGAAAACAGGGCTGATAACCCAGGGATGTTTATGTTATTGCTGAGCAGTGCTTACACAGAGTCAAAGGCTGTTCTGCTTCTCACCCCACCCACCAGCGATTGGGCTGGGGGTGCACCAGAACTTGTGCGGGAACACAGCTGGGACAGCTGACCCCCCTGACCAAAGGGATATTCCATGCCATGTGATGTCAGGCTCAGCATATAGAGCTGGGGGAAGAAAAAGGAAGCAGGGGACATTTAGAATGACAGTGTTTGTCTTCCCAAGTAACTGTTATGTGCAATGGAGCCCTGCTTCCTGAAGACGGCTGAACACCTGCCTGCCGATGGGAAGGAGTAAATGAATTCCTTGTTTTGCTTTGCTTGCATGTATGCCTTTGCTTTACTTATTAAACTGTCTTTATCTGAACCCCTGAGTTTCTCACTTTTACTCTTCCAATTCTCTCTCCCATCCCACCAGGGGAGAGTGAGCGAGCAACTGTGTGCTGCCTGTTGCCAGCGGGGGTTAAACCACAACAGCAACTGACTT